CAATCTCCAAGCAAAAAAACTCACCTTGCTTTGCATAAAATTCAAATTGACAACCTATTCAGAAACAATCTCCAAGCAAAAAAACTCACATTTCCAACAAAAAAATTATTTCAAATTGCTTTGCATAAAATCGGAAGTTAAGATAAATACATTTAAAATAAAAAAAATCAAAAAAAAAAGTTAGAACTGGGTTCCGCGCAGGAGCCCAGAACTGGGTTCCCGCGCAGGAATCCAGTTTCTAGGTTCCTCGCGTGGAATCCAATTCGGGTTCCTGCGCGGAACCCAGTTTTGGGCTCTTGCGCGAGGAACCCAGAACTGGGTTCCCCGCGAGGATGGTGAAGATGATGCCGAGGATGAGGGGGGAAAGAAAAAAAAAAGAAAAAGAAAAAATGCCATTTATATGTAACTGTTTGGTAATATTATAATTTTTTATTATTTTTATTGTATACATGGCGTCCACCTCCGTAAAAAATAAACCACGTCATAAAAAAAAAGATCCACGTTAGATTATTAACGTTATGTAATACCACGTCAATTTTTGAGTGTCATGTAATATATTTTTTAACGGTACCGTGACGACCCGTTAAAATATTGAGTTTTTCACGAGTTTTGAAAAATGGAGAGTATGAATATGGAGGAAAAATTTTAAAAGGTGTTGACCACGAAAAAAAATAAATTGAAGGTGCAAATAAAGGTTTTGGCCAAAAAAAAATTGACACTTTTAAATTTTGAGAGCAAACCTCTTAGAATCATATAGATACCTTCTTCTTCTTCTTCTTTTTTCTTTTTCTTTTTTAATGGGACTTAGATACCTTTCTTTATATTGTGAAGATACTCGAAGGGCTCCCAAAACCCAGAGGAGAGACAAATACCATTTCCCCCTTAAAATATTATTCCCCAAATCCAGAGTACGCACTTTTCCATTTGTGCTTTTGTAGCGTATTTTGGGATAGGATATGGCATCTGCAAGTTTAAATCCGGACCTTATGTTCTCTTTTTCCCACTTGGCATGGGCCCAGTTTGCCCACTTGTAATCAAGATGAGGCCATCATCATCGTCCGCCTCGCCTTCTTACACGCAACTGCCGCAAAATTGGTCGGTCCACACTCTTTTCCAGTCGTACAGGGTCGGCTGTCGTTTTGTGACGAAGTCCCAAAAGGATGTGAACAGACCACACGCGTCAAACACATGGCCACGTCATCCTTCTCCCCTTAATTTCTTGACCTGTAGTTTTGGAATCTCTGACTCAGACGCCAATTTTCGGCGAGGACGGCGACCCAAGTGGGATGGATTGAAGAAAAGATAAGGTGCTGTGGTAGTATCGGCAAAACGCCGCTCCCCATTGCCTTTGAATTTTTTTTCAGTGTAAAACTTTATTCTTCACTTTATAATATATAATTTTTTTTTTAAATATATTTGCAAGGGACGGGTTTTGAATTCAGCACGGGAAAAGGGAGAATGCACCGGGGTGGTTATTGCCATTAGGCCGCAAAAGTCAGGTGCATAATCTTATTTTTTTTAATATTTAAATGTATAAAATTTTACATTTTACTTTATAATTTTTGAAATGTATAATATCATAAATTCAAATATTATTAAATATAAAATCATAAGTTTAAATATTAAGAAAATATAAAATTATATATTATAAAATAAAAAATAAAATTTTATACACTCAAAAAATTAAAGCGCCATCTGTGGATTTTTGCCTAGTAGTATCCTGCGGAGAAAACGTAGAAA